GTCGTCGTCGTCGTCGTCGTCGTCATCGTCACCTCATCAGCATCATCATCATCATCATCATCATCATCGTCATCATCATCATCATCATCATCATCAGCATCAGCATCAGCATCAGCATCAGCATCATCATCATCATCATCATCAGCATCATCATCATGATCATCATCATCATCATCGTCATCCTCATCCTCATCCTCATCCTCATCCTCATCATCATCATCATCCTCATCCTCATCATCATCATCATCATCACCATCATCATCATCGTCATCGTCATCGTCATCGTCATCATCATCATTATCATCATCCTCATCATCATCACCAACATCATCATCAGCAGCAGCATCATCATCATCGTCATCATCATCGTCATCATCATCATCATAATGATCATCATCATCATCATCATCAGCATCATCATCATCATCATCATCATCGTCATCATCATCATCATCATCATCATCATCATCATCATCCTTCCCCTCCTCCTCCTCCTCCTCCTCCTCCTCCTCCTCCTTCTCTTTTTACCTCCGCGGGCTGCGCCGCAGAGATAGCCAAGCCAAGAGGCGTAGACGTCACCTATGCGAACAAACAGCAGGGCAACGCGCACGAGCAGGCCAAGGGCAACGGGGGGCACGAACCCGAGGAGGGAGCGAAGAGAGGAGAAACCAAGAGCGGGGAGGGACCGAGCGGAGCAGAGGCAGGGAAGGAGAGTCAGACAGCGAACCGAAAAGGCAGAAGAGGAGAGGAAAGAGAGAGAGAGAGGAAAAACAAAGCACAAAAGAGCGAGAGGGGGAGAGAAGAAACATGAAGAGAGGGGGTACAATGCGAGTAACAGCGGAACCCGAACGGACGCGAATGCGACACGCGACCGGTGGCAAAAGCGACATCGCGAACCGACACTACACGAAGACGACACGGCGACGACCAAAAACCACGACGCAAGACGGCAGCGGCACAACAAAAACAGAAGGACGAGGACGAGGAGTGCCAGCGCGGAGGCCCCACGGCGGCCCACCAGGGCCGCCGACACCACAACGACGACAGAAGGCGAACCAGCTGACACCCCGACGACAGGCCCGCCCCCAAGGGCAGCCGGCGACGACACAAACGAAGAGATCAGAATTACGACGACCGACGCCGACCGAAAGCCACCAAGACGAGGCCCAGCAAGCCGGAGGAAGCTACCCGGGCTCGCCCCCTCTTAGCCCCCCTCACTGCCAGAACAGCTTCGGCAGAGGTGGAGAATGGATTTCAGCCCAAGCGAGAAGAGCAGCCGAGCGCAGCCCCACGTCGTCGCCCCGTCCCCCCCTCCCTGTGGAGGTGTCCTCCTCCTCCTCATCCTCCTCCTCCGCCTCCTCCTCCTCATTAATAATAATATCCTCCTCCTCCTCTTCCTCCTCCTCCTCCTCCTCATCATCATCATCATAATCATCATCATCCTCATCATCATCACCATCATCATCATCGCCACCACCACCATCCTCATCATCATCATCCTCATCTTCACCCTCATCGTCATCAGCATCATCATCAGCATCATCACCATCAGAATCATCATCCTAATCATCATTAGCAGCATCATCATGGCAGCATCATCATTCTCGGCATCATTCTCGGCATCATCATCAGCAGCAGCAGGCTCATCAGCATCATCAGCAGCAGCATCAGCAGCATCCGCAACCGAAGCAGCATCAGCATCATCAGCATCAGCATCACCATCATCATCGTCGTCATCGTCATTAGCAGCACCATCATCATCAACATCATCATCACCACTACCACCACCATCATAATCACCATCACCACCACCACCATCACCACCATCACCATCATCATCATCACCAGCACCACCACCACCACCCTCATCATCATCACCTCATCAGCATCATCATCATCATCATCATCATCATCATCATCATCATCATCATCATCATCATCATCATCATCATCATCATCATCATCATCATCATCGTCATCATCGTCATCGACGTCGTCGTCGCGGTCGTCGTCGTCGTCGTCCCCGTCGTCGTCGTCGTCGTCCTCCCACCTCCCTCCTCGTCATCCACTTCCTTATCCTCCTTCACCTCCAGTTCCCCGTCCTCCGTCTCCTTCCTCCTCCTCCTCCTCCTCCTACTCCTCTTCCTCCTCATACTACTCATCCTCATCCTCATCCTGATCTTCATCCTCATCCTCATCCTCATCCCATCTGGGGTCCACCTTAAATTGATGGGAGCGTGGTCCCTCAATTTCTTGCTCCTTCTGCTCGCTTTCCTTTTCCTCTTCCTCCTCCTCCTCATCTTCGTCATCCGCCTCCTCCTCCTCCTCATCGAAAGATAACGGCTGCCCCCCCTGTTTGTTCCACTGTATGCTCCCACCCTTCCCTAATCAGGGCAACCCACCTGGGCATAGTTTCTGGACGGGCTGGTGGGGATTCGCGAAGCGTCCAAAAACTCTTATCCCTCGAAACTGGACCGCACGGCACACAAGAGGTGAAAGCACTTCATGGAAGGCGGCAAGGGTGTCGATGTACATAAAGATATCGAAATTGGCATTCCCCCAGAGATACAAATAATTATACGGACCAGCCCGCATCGAACCAATAATCGCACGCGTGCCGAATGCATCGCCGTCCGGAGTCCGCCGAAGGAAAAGCAGAACCAACTAAGAGTTGCGGACATCAGAAACACTCGCTGATGATCAATATCCAAAGAGGGTACATGGCATACTGCATCCGAAAAATTACCAGTGCTCACAGAGAGTTATGATGCCGCCGGCAACGTTGGATCGTCGGCGGGGCAACCATCAGGTGCGGCATAAGTGTTTTGCGGGATCCACAGCAAGGTGACTCTAACGCATGTAGATATTTACCCAGGCCTGTGCTGCGCAGCACTACAAGAACAGCGCCCACCTATCAGCGGCTCGTCTGGCGAGGACTCTCTGCTGCGTCTGCTCACCAAAGACACTCGTCCTAAAGAATGTGTTCATGAGCTCGAACATAAGTATCCTTGGTTTCCCCTCCAATTGCTTACCACAACTCCATCACTGCTCACCGCTGCGAACTGTTGGCTGCCACATCTAACCATACATGGAAGGGTCTCCAGAAGTCACCCGAGGTCCCCGAAAATCCCCTGGAGGTCCCCTGAGACGTCCAGAGGACCCCAGAGGCTCCTAAAGTCTGCGAATTCCCAACCAACGATTCGCTGCCCTCAGGCCACCACCGTCGTTATCTTCTCAACGTGGGGTCCCCCGGGGCTGGTTTCATATTGTTTTGCGTCGGCGGCTGGGCAGGGGACGTCTGCGCTGGCGATGGATCAGGCCCAGGCGGGGATGCCGTTAGAGCGAATTGTGCCACCATGCAAGAGCAGGAGCGGGGGGAGGGCGCGGCCGAAAGAGGGGCGGACAGAGCGAGCGGCTCGGGGGGGACGGGTTGCTCCCCGAGCGGCGGCGCGGCCAGCCCCGCCGTCGGGCCCGCGGCGGCTGCTGCGTCGGTGGGCCAGCGGCGGCGGGGCCCAGTGCGGGGATGGGTATCCCGGGTCTAAGGGTGCAAAGTGAACAGTATCAGAGCAAGATGACTGCCCAACCCCGGAACGGGTGGGCGGAGCCAGTCGGGGCTGTGGCACCAGCAGCGGGCTGCAAGACCAAGCCCGGGGCAGGCGCGGGTGGCGGCTGCTGGCGCCAAGGGCGGCGACAGCGTGCGGCCGGCAGCGCCATGGCGGCGAGGGCTGGTTTCATACAGGACACTTTTGCTGCGGCCCTGGGCCTCGCCATGGGCCTCAAGATGCCGAACAGAACGACCACCTGCGCTGTCAGCGGCTGCGACGACAGTGGCCAGCAAAGAAAAATACTGTCAGACCTGGGCAAGAAGAACGTCCCTCAAGAACGTGGACCCTCTGCCGGCGGGAACGCGCAGAACATCCAAGGGTACCATCCCCAGGGCGCACAAGAACATCCAACAAGCACGAAGAACAAAAGGGCACCCTCCCCGAGCCGACCTCGACCTTATACCTCGGTCCGACTGTATGAGACGTCGGCGACCACGTGCCAGCCCGCCCGCAGCGCGGGACGCCCGAACCCGCCCCGACACACTGACCCCAACGAGGGCCTGCGCAGGGCCCGTACGTGATCAGCGCCAGGCGGCCCGGCTCCACGAAGCGGGTGAACATCGAGGCCATGACTGCTTCCTGCAGCTTGGCGGCCAGAAGCCCCCGGGGGGGGCATCAGGAGCAGGATCCCAGACACTGGCGTTTCGAACAAATCGACACGGAGATTTTTGGCCATTGTCGGCCTCTCGGGGCCCTTACTGGGCCTCGGGACCGTCAAAAAACGACAATTCGGGATGAAAAACCGGTCCCTGGGAAGTGGCCGAGAGGTCGGGGGCCCGTGTCTCGAAAAAAATTGAGACGCCAGATGTCTGGGATGGTGGCGATGACGGCGCGCCGTGAAGGGCAGGGTTGCTGGACAAGTGCCTCTCTCAGTCCCTGCCCAGGGAGAGATGGCCGCACGGATTTGAATGCCCATGTCTTCTGCCACTGCGTTGTGTGCCAGCTGCAGCACTATGCACGGGTCTCTCGTCCGAGTTGGGTTGTGTATCGCGTTGTCCCCCCAGAACTGTCGTACCTGACCGCCCTCCCGCGGAGAGCTCTCGTTCCAGTTCTCTTGCACCAGCCTATCACAATGTAGAAAAAATGCTGGCGACGATCTGCCATGGAGTCGGCGCCTTGAGATGTCGTGGCGTGGTGAGCCACGCCTCCCAGCGAGGCCGTCTGAGATAAGCCACCAAAATGAATGCAATGGATTGAAAGACCTCCCAGGCTGCGTCATGATTTGACCATACAACTCCAAACAGTTTCCAAAAATTGTCCAAAACGATTCGCAAACATACCACGAAGACGACCAGTCAGCGGCTCGCGACCGTATGATCCCAAAGACCATTCGCTTCGGTATCTTCGCCCTGCGCGCCAAATACACGTTCTGGTTTGCTAGCACACGAGACGTTCGAAAGATGCTGTGGATTGCGTTCATAGTCCGTTCCACGTCTGCTGCCAGGCTGCCAGCGCAGGACTCCAACGAACACAGCACTCTAAACCATGACTTTACAAACTACTCTTTCCCATTACCGCCCTGGAAACTGATCGGACAAGAACGGGAAGCGCCGATGTTGTCAAGTGGGCTCACAGGGGAAAGAAGAAAGAGATGATGGCGAGGACAAGGCGGCTGATGACGAAGACGACAGCACGGATGACGGGGAGGGCAGCGAGGGGAGAAGGAGGACAACGAGTAAAAGAAACCCCCTGAAATAACACAAGACTCGTTGGGGGCATTTGGGAATATTGGTTGGGTCTCTTGGAGGCCGTTTGGGGGCCTCGTTTGGGCCTCTTGGGCCTCCTGGGGGCATCTTGGGGCGGAAGGCTCGAGTTGTCGATTCGCGTTCCACCTCCATGGCCGTTTTTGGGGCCGTCTTGAAGCCCTCTTGGGCCGTCTTGGGCGCCTCTTGGGCCGTCTTGGAGCCCTCTTGGAGCCCTCTTGGAGCCCTCTTGGGCCGTCTTGGGGCCCTGTATGGGGGCCTCTTGGGCCGTCTTGGGACGTCGGAAGCTCGAAACGGCGGCAATCCTCAAAACATCGAAAACACGAGGAATATTCATTATGTTTGCCTTTCGGGCCCTCTTGGGAAGGCTCTTGAAGCTTTCTTGGACATCTCGAAAGCTTCTTGGGCCGTCTTGGAACACTCTTGGACCGTCTTAGGGCCCTCTTGGGTCTCTCTTGTGCCGCCTGGGGGGTGCTTGGGGTGATCTGTCGCCGTCTTGGCGGCCTCTTGAGGCCGTTTCTCTGGAATCCTTCCCGGACAAGAACGGAAAGCCCGCTTCTCTGAGCTTGCGTGCCCACGCGCGCATGGATTTCCAACCAACGCGCATGCGTGCACATGGATGCAGTCGCTGGGCTCCCCTAGATGCCCAGATGGTCGTCGTTGATAGCTCGTGTTTAGTGGTTGCCTGCGGTTGCTTTGGTCACGTGTTGCGCGTGGCCTATGCTTGTGTGTGCGCATGTGCATGTGCATGTGTGTACGTGTGTGTGCCTGTGTGTGCCTGTGTGTGCCTGTGTGTGCGGCTGTGTGCGTGTGTGCGAGTGTGCAGCCGTGGAAGGATAGGACTGGTGGGCTGCCAGCTGAGCACTCGGGTCTGGCCCGTTCCTGAGGTTGGGCAAAGAACAAGTACCCCACAAACAGAGCCCCCACTAGTGCCACATGACTTGGTAGCCAGTCATGCCAATGCCATGCACGAGCTCACGCCAACGGCACGACCACCAGAAACGCTCACGGCGGGTGACAGTATGGGCGCACAGGGCGTGGAGATCAGCCTCGACCCAGGTGAATACGCCATATTCTGAGTACTTGCGGGAGGTCAGATCTCCGTTACCCCTCCAGGGGAGCTACCGACCCTAACGGCCAGCGCCCCCACCTGGGCAATGATCGCCATGCCCGCCGCGGCGGACCTGCAGACAGCCGACAGCAACATCCAGAGGCCCACCGCCTGGATGCGCGCCCAGCTCGTATGTAGGGATGTGTGGGTAGCCAGAAGGAATAACCTATCGCCGCCCCCCCCATTACCCGCCGCCTCGGGCATCCAAGTTACGCCTACCCCGCAGGAGTCAACAGGAAGAGGATGCCATAACGTCGTCTCCCCACAGCCAGGCCCCGCAAGGCCAGTGGAGTACCAGCCCCTGCTGGCCCTTTTGGTTGCCACTGCCGCGGTCGACCCGAGGCTGGCGCCCCCCCCCCGACTGCGGCGCAAGATGCACTCCATGCGGCTCAGCTCCTGCTCGAAGGTTCCGAGGCGCCTTGCCGCTCCACCAGCAACGCGCCTCGGCCACATGTATCGAGGGAAGAATCCATGCCGAGGCAGGCAGACGGCGCACTGAGCGGCCCATTCCAGCGGTGCGCCTGGCCGATGGCGCTGGCTTGCTGGATCATTTAGTACATTAACCCAAATTCCCTCGACTGGGATCAGTAGACCAGATTAGGAAGGAAGGAGGCAAAGGCTGTTCCCTTTCGCGCAGTGGACCCGAAACCCCCTCGACCCTACCTACTCTGCCCACACACACACACACACCGCTCCTGCACATTCCCGGCGCAAGTGGCAGAGAGCAAGAAGCGTCAACGACGCATGCTCCCCTCGATGGCGCCGAGGCAGCCTGCGCTGCCGTAGTGTCCAGGATACATGCTGAGCATGCTGGAGACTGGCTGGGCGGCGGCCCTGGCCGAAGACCGCGCGATCTCACCATACGCAGGAACCACGCGAGAGCTCACCGCGGAACTCGCGCCCCCCACCCGCCCCCGCGCCCAGCCAACCCACACGCACAGGGCGCACGCCCTGCCGCCCCCACCCAACCGACTTGTCTGCGAAGCAGCCCCCCCCCAGTGGGCAGGAGAGCCGCGGCGAGCCCCCGATCCCTCCAACGGTCCTCACCCAACCCTTAGATCACCACGCAGAGCATTGCCCAACAGCGCAGCCAACCGCCCAGGACCTGCCCGCAGACACGACACACACACACACACACACACACCGAAGCGGCACCCGCAGACAACCCGATCGACCCCCCGCCAGGGACAGGACAGGGCAAGCCTCAGAGGGCCCTCGCTCGGACAGCCCACCTCCACAGGACTCGCGCACATGCGTATGCCGCAAAGTTGGCGACGACCCCCCCAAGCAACGCTGGGCAAGACTGGGGTCTGGCTGCCTCACCTGACCGAGGGCCCCCATGGCGCAGATCGAGACTGAAGGAATCGAGTCGCTTGCAGAACAGGCGTTGCAACTCTTTCGCCGTCTCCTCTCCTCAGCAGGCAGGCTTGGCAGCAGACCGCAACAGCTTGCTGCACTAGCCCCACGGCAATCTCAGGCGGCTCCTCTCCTCTCGCGGGGAGACGGAGGATAGCGCGCGCAGCCTCGTCCGCCCTGACGGGGCGAGATATCGAGACGCCCACGTCTTGAACGCACTCGCTGACGCTGCCATTGGCGACCCTAACGGTGACCACCCCCCCAGGGAGAATACTCTCAGCGGGGCGGAGGAAACGCAGGCAGCCCCATCAGGAATCCTTGATGCCGGCCCCGAGTTCGACCAGCTGGGACGACAGACACTCCCAGATATCGGCGACGCCGAACATAATTCCCCAGAGCGGCACCCTGACGACCCCCTCAGGCGCGGAGCGGCAATCCTCCCCTCTGAGCGAATGGCTGGCAGGCATGAAAATGCCCGGGCCCCCGAAGAAGAGCACATAAGAGACTAGCTTTCCGACCACGTAGAAGCTGCATGCAGTGGAGGCCACGCAGCGATCCCGGCAGCCCTGCGCGCGCAAGCCCCTGACGAAACCGGCGCCAACACTGACCGATGGCAGGCCACACTGGCTGGCATCATTTGGGGCACGCCCATAGATGAGCTCAGAGCTAAAACTACGTTTGTCTTTGTGAATTTGGGCCTTTCAACCGAGCCCTTTGAGCTACTCGCACGGCATTGGAGTCGGCAAGGGCTCTTAACCCGCGGGCTTCCCGCCGTTCCCCCCGCAACCCCCAACCTGGGGTCAACGTGAACTTTGCCCTAGACACCGCATGCCTCCACATCCAGAGAATCGGCGAGACCCTGGGCGCCCCCGAGGGAAGTCCCCTTACGCTCTACGCTGCGCCTCCCGCGTGACTTCCTACCGGCGGTGGTCATCTCTGAAGATCCATTCCCGTCGACCGCGATGAGGTGGACAGGCCTGCCGAGCCCTCTAAGTATACCCCAAGTTCCCCCACCGAAGCCATGACAAGCCCCAAGCTCTGCGAACCCACGCGGGTAGACCCGGAAACAGTCGCGACCCCCGGCGTAGCACAGGTGTCCAGTCTGACGCGCCCGGCCATGCATCAGTCCGCCGTCGCGCCCATGCGGCCACCCGCAGGCAGAGTGGTAGCGGACATCCGCGGGCGAACCGGCCCTGCACCCCTGACCCACGGCCACGCGGTAGAAACAGCCCCACCTTGACCCCCACCGGACCAAGCAGCCCCCGCGGCAACCGCATGTCACAGCCTGCCTGGGGACGCCCAGAGGAGGCAGCATCCGCAGTGAGAACGGGCGAGGCAGACGCTAATCCCCTGGACGTTAGCCCCCTACAAGCAAGTGACAACGGAATCCGCACCCTGCAGCACCCAGA